GTTGCATTCGAACTATTTTATTATCAATTTATTAGAAACAGGGACAAATATTTCTTTGCTTCTGTTTATTTACCCCTGCCTAATTTAAAATAAAAATCATGCAAGCATACTGAAAACTGATGTAATTAGTTATATTAAGATTTGAGTGAAGGCAGAAACAGTTTTGTAACATTTAACACACCAGTACTGATACAACCACTTCTTTTATTTTCTCAGATTCATCAATTCCCCTAAAAATTTCACTTTCCTGGTTCTTCCACCAAGTTCTTTAATTGAATCGGTATATGATTTTCAGTTTTGAGTATGATTTCGTAGTGCTTCTCAATATTTATTTTTTATTTATTTTTTTACTCTCCCTGTGCGAAGAACGGGTGGGTATTCAGCTTGCCTATATGTATAAAAATGAATGTCTGTGTGTATGTCCTTTATCGACTCCTAAACCATCCAACTGAAATCGATGAAACTTAGCATACAGATAGTTCGATGCACAAGGAAGGTCACTGTTGACATTAGAGCATTCTACGACATACCGCTTGAGAGGGATAAGCGAAAAACGGAATGGAGTTTTCTGATTGGCTAAGCGTTAGCCTCTATTTCAAACTTAAAGATTCAATTTTTCACATATTTTAAAATAACATCAGAGATATTTGCTAGCTTATAGCTCTATTTGATAAAAAATAGTTTATTGCACGTATTTAAATATTTTATTATTTTATATTCGCTATGTCAGATAAATTTAATAGACATTGCTTGGTACTACGGCGCCAAATTTATTTAAAATTACTTATTTAAAATCAACGGCAATTGAAAGGAAAAAAAGCAAAAATTAATGGGTATGTGGTACTAATTCGTTAAGGAGAAACATAAAAAAATCTACCCCAATGATGCTTAATTAATTACGGTAATATATGCATATTGAAATAAAAGAAATAAGCTATGTACTAGATAGCAAAAGTAATGGAGTAAAGGTATTTATTTGTCTAGAAGAACCGTAAGAAAACGTCATACTATCATTGACGACAATGATGCTTAATTAATGTTGGTAATATGCATTAGGTGAAATAAAAAAAAAGTAACTTCTAAACTAAAAAGAGAAAATAAGGAGAAAACATACTAATTCGCGTTTTGTGTAACAGTAAAAAATTTGCAAATTATTACTGACACTAATGCTCAATTAATATTGATAATGTGCATTAATTTTATTTTATTTTATAACCGTCGTTGCCAATATTTGGGTATACGACTACTAAAGTTCAACTCCGTAGCCTTGTAATTTTGAACCCAATCCATAAGACAAGAGGATCCTGGATCACGTATTGGGCGAAATTTGCCTTCGCGGAGGACTTTTTGATGGAACTAACCCGCATTTGCGTTACATGGAGAGGAAAACCACGAGAACCTCCCACGGTTAGCTTGACGGCAGGGGGACTCTAACCCATGATCCGTCTACCACTGAGGATATTTCTCGTCAGCACTGTGGTCGGTGCAAGCAGGATGCGGAATTCGTTTCGACCATCCATCGCTGGGATCGAACTCCGATTCACCTTATAGGAAGGCGAACGCTCTATCTCCTGAGTCATCACGGTTCAAGTAATGTGTATTAATTGAAATAAAATAAGCTAAGTGCTAAAAAGTCAAGCTCATGGAGGAAAGATTAATGGGAAGTTCGTTTAAGAAAACCTCAAAAAAATCGCCATTCGCAGATGACGCTGGATTCATATGTATCCCTGACGGTAATATGTACTATTGGTATTATGGTAACTGGCGTATTATTGATGAAAATTCTACAAGGTGTTTTCCGTAGCTTCAGGAAACATTTTTATTTCGGTGATAGCTAAAATAGTGTATTAATATTATAATGAATTACAATTAAAAGAACTTTTTTCCACTGCTACTTATAAATATTTTAACAGTAAATTAGATAGAAAAATGGTCATGCTGCAAAATTCTTATGAAGTTCTAATATTTTTTTTTAAAGTATGCTGCCACTGACATATGTAACTCAAATGTTGAAGGGTTATGCAATAAGTACCAAACATAATATAGGTATAAAATATTTTATTTATATATTTAGTGTATTGTATTTATATATATTATTAAAACTGCACCAATACTAATCAGTTTCAATACCGATACTTTGGAATTAAGCATTTTGAGACCTCTCGAAAGGGATATGTTTCCTCAGAGAATCACTTAATTGTGGTAAATTTTAACTATCATGAATTATCCGCGAGCAATAGCATCATAGCAAGTGATGCTAAATACATTTTATCTTTTTTCCAACGAATCTATTTTTAGATTTTTNATCCGGAATCGGGAGAAATTTGCCTTCGTGGAGGACTTTTTTGATGGAACTAACCCGCATTTGCGTTACATGGAGAGGAAGATCATGATAACCTCCGACGGTTAGCCTTACGGCAGGGGGACTCTAACCCATGATCAGTCTACTTCTCAGGATATTTCACGTCAGCACTGTGGTCGGTGCAAGCAGGATGCGGAATTCGTTTCGACCATCCATCGCCGGGATCGAACCCCGATTCACCTTATAGGAAGGCGAACGCTCTATCCCCTGAGTTCGAGTAAGGTGTATTAATTGAAATAAAATAAGCTACGTGCTAAAAAGTCAAGCTCATGGAGGAAAGATTAATGGAAACCTCAAAAAAATCGACATTCGCAGATGACGCTTGATTCATATGTATCCCTGACGGTAACTACTGGTATTATGGTAACTGGCGAATTATTGATGAGAATTCTACTTCAGGAAACATTTTTATTTCGGTGATAGCTGAAATAGAGTATTAATATTATAATTAAAAGAACTTTTTTCCACTGCTACTTATAAATATTTTAACAGAGAAATGGTCATGCTGCAAAATTCTTATGAAGTTCTAATATTTTTTTTTTTAAAGTTTGCTGCCACTGACATATGTATAAACTCAAATGTTGAAGGGTTATGCATTAAGTACCAAACATAATATAGGTATAAAATATTTTATTTATATATTTAGTGTATTGTATTTATATATATTATTAAAACTGCACCAATACTAATCAGTTTCAATACCGATACTTTGGAATTAAGCATTTTGAGACCTCTCGAAAGGGATATGTTTCCTCAGAGAATCACTTAATTGTGGTAAATTTTAACTATCATGAATTATCCGCGAGCAATAGCATCATGGCAAGTGATGCTAAATACATTTTATCTTTTTTCCAACGAATCTATTTTTAGATTTTTTTCCATTACAAACAACGAGCTTCGCTTACTTCAATAAAAGCCACCGAAGATTACAAAATATATTAACCCTTTGCTTACAGCGTTAGTGTGATGATCGTATCCGCCTGTTATTTCAGCCGTGAGCAAAAGGTTAAATTTAAAAAAAAAATTCGAAACTATTTTGGCTATATTAATTGAGAAACTTATCGGACGAGCCAGGTAAGTGACATTTTCAGAACGAAAATAGAACTTGTATCCAAATTTATAGAAGATTATATTATTATTTATTAATATATATTATCCAATTTATTAGAAGGTGATACTAATAGTTCTTTGCTTTATTTTATTTACCACTGTCTCATTTGAATAAAAATCATGCAAAGCATACTAGAAACTAATCAGGATTAGTTATGTTAAGATAAAAGTGAAAATAAAAACAGTTCTGTTATATTAAACATACCCATATGGACGCAACTACTTTGTGTTTCATTTTATCTAATTCATTAATTCCCCTAAAAATGTCATTCACCTGATTCTTCCATCAAGTTGTGTCGGTATATGCTTTTCAGTTCCGTTGTGTTTCTCAGTACTGATTTATTCCTTTTTTCTTTTTTAATTCTGTCCGTGCGAAGAACGGGTATTCAGCTAGTATGCGATGAAGTTGCTTTTTTGAAATCTCTTAGGAACGAATACGTCAATATACTGACAAAAGAATGAAAAGGTGCTACAAATTCAACCATAGAAGTAAGAAAAATCACACTATGCCTATTTCATATATTTTGGTAACTAAGTACACATTTCAAAATTAATTAATAGATTTTTCTCCATTTTATTTTTTGATATAAGTCGAAAGGAATGTTATGGTAATACAGTTCGGAAAAAAATAAAGATTTTAATTCAAAATATTTTCAATGTGTGTAATAGTCAAATTCATGAACTGAAATGAAATAACTGAGATCAAAGATTATATGAAACGCTGTCACTAAAAAAAGTATCTCTAATCCTAAAAATATGCGATAAAGTAGCTTTTCTGAAATTTCTTAGGATGAATAACATCAACACACTGACAAAAACATACATAAGGTAATGATACTAATGTGTGTAAATGCTTAGGAGTGCAGCAATATTTCAGGAATAAACTGCACTACTTTAAAATAAAATTTATCATCATACCTTCAACATAAACTATATTACATACAGTAAATACATTATACTGTATCAATATATTTGGACTTAAGTTAAAAATGATAACACGTTTAAAGTAAATATTTACTGATATTGCATCAATATAATATAATAAAAGTGATAATTAGTTTTAAATAAATTATTATCAAATAATAATTTGAAAGTTACTTTCTAGTTGACAGTAGAATTGATCTGAAGCAAGGTATTTGTAAGTCCCTTTTTTTCCAGAAGGGGCATTCTTTTCATCAATAACGTTTCTTAGTTTTGTTTATAGATATTTTAAGTGCTTTATCAGATATACTTTTAAGTACTTTATTACTTTTTAGAATCATTCACTAAATAACGCCCATAATACACGGACTTATCCTATTACAAAGTAGCCACTTTTCCGGCAGAAATTGGTCATAATAGGCCAGCTGAACTCTTAAAACTAACTTAAAATAAAATTCATGATAACCACATAAATTTTTTTCCAGACTGTGAGGTTTATAATTATATTGCCCCACTACTTTATATTTATTTCCTGTTAGCAATTAAAAAGGAATAATTTCATTAAATGAATTTCAATTTCTTACCTCAGTTATGCTTGAAACTTCGCATTGGAAATACACTGGTATAATAACGCTTGATGATATAAACATTCCTACAGGTATCATAAAATTAACGATGGAAATAGCGATGCCATATTTGTAAACTTCAGCTGGTGATGAAAGAAACGAAGACGTAGATGTGAGAGTAACAATGATAGAAAAGATGACAGGAAATTTTGGCATATTTTTTCCTGCCAACAAATAATCCGTAGCTATTTTCTGTTGACCTTTGAAATACCTTGCACATAATCCTATCCCAGTCGATAACAAAAGTGTCAAAGAAATAATAACATAATCGGCAACACCAAGACTGTATTTTTTAAACATTTTGATTTCTTTGTCAGATTACAAACTTCTGTGATTTGCTGTAGCTTATTAAATGCGGTGCAAAGAATCTTCTGATTATGAAATGCTGAAAAAAAATTAAGCTATATTCAGAGCAATTTATCTTCGTAAAAGGATAATATTTCTCTTGTTTTTAATTGTCTTATTCTTATTAAACGTCGTTTTCAATGATAACAAGTGGAAGAAAATGCTATAATTTATGTTCTATTAAAAGTTAACCTTTTTCTGTTTTTTTATTGTAAGAAAAAAATATGTTTTCCTTTTGAATGGCGATTAAAAGAATATATACGTTACCGACAAAGTATGAAATAGTAACTAGGCATTGTATACAATACCGGAAGGTTTTAGGTAATGTATGAAATATGGGAATTATTACATATTTTCCCTTGGCATTGCATATAATTCCTAGGCATTCTACAGAATGACAAATTCTATTTATGTAAAGTATGAAAACGTCCCCGATAAGGCCATTATATAAATAAATGACGTTCATTCCTCAAAATAGCAAATGTTATTCTGAAAAAATAATGAGAATGAAATTTAAAAAATTTATTCGAAACGCGTAAAGAAAAATGAAATTTTACTGAAACAAAATTCGCGCTCTTATTAAGGGAAACAAAATTTTTATATAAATATTCAGAAATTTAAATTAACCTACTTTTTTCAACACGGTAAGTTTGAAGACATTTTGAATTACATTTTATTACATTCGAAACGAATCGGAGGTGTATTTCATACTTTACTGGAAGAAAAAAGAAAATTAATTTTATTTTGTGTATAATATTAAAATGAACGTGATGCACTTTAGAAGTTATTTTGGTTGTTTAATGAACAATATTATAAAAAGAAGAAAAAATTGGTTGTTGTTATTGCTGCTTATCCTAACGGATCTGACATTAGTCAGATCAACTCCAGAAAGTTGTTGACAGCCAGAAAGTCGATGACAAGAAGTGGATCGGAAATTAAGTCCGCCCAGCTGTGGCCCCATTACCAGCTTCACGGATTCTGATTCCGATTGAAACTAAATTCCGATGCGAAATAATTACGAATCCGATTCCGGCTGGTTTAGAGCAAGCGAAATCTAGATTCCGATAGGGGTTAGTTTATTTTAGTGATAAAAAAGGCGCTGTTTTCTGTCATTACTACCGGTTAAAGCCAATATGAAAAATATATGATTTATTCAGAATAGGATATTTTTATAGCTTTCATAAATATTATTGTATTTCGATACTTAAATTGAGACTTATTTTGTTTTACGGATTGAGTTAAAAAGAAGAGTTTTTCGTTATATTCAGAAAGATGATAACTTATCCATTTCATAATTTTGTAACCATCGTCGAACAGCCGACCTAATTTTGTGTTTATGACTACTGATGTTCAGCTCCGTAGTCTTGTAATTTTAAATCCAACCCAGAAGACAAGGAGAGTCCTGTATCAAGTATTGAGTGAAATTTGCCTCCATGGGGGACTTTTTGATGGAACTAACCCTCATTTCCGTAACATGGAGCGGAAAATCTCGAAAACCTCCCATGGTTAGCCTGACCTCAAGGAGACTCCAGATCTTCTGAGCCACAACGGCTGGGCCTGATTAATAATAACAAATGATTGATTATGAAAAAATAATTTCATTGAGATAATGATGAACATTTAGTTGAAATCCAATTACCGCCAAGCAATCTGAAAAACATTTTCGTAGTTTTTCTCTGCGTGTAACGCAAAATTTGATAATTTTAATTTCAACTTAATCATGGTTAAAATAAATTATTTTTGTAACTTTTATAAATATTGTTTTTCGCCGATACTTAAATTGCGAGTCACTTTGATTTTTGGAAAGAGTTAAAAATATAAATACAAGAAATATAAAGAGCATCTCGTTATATGTTGTTGTTGTAGTTACTTTACGTCGCACTGGAGCCGCCCAATGGGCTATTGGCGACGGTCTGGGAAACATCCCTGAGGATGATCCGAAGACAAGCCATCACAATTTTGATCCTCTGCAGATGGGATGGCACCCCAGCTTCGATAGCCCAACGACCTGCACGCGAAGTCGAGCACTTTCCGGTGGAACAGTTTAACGAGGACTAATACCGCACACCCTCGGTCCCTACGCAGACTGATCCAAGTGGTCACCCACCCGCACACTGACCGTAGTCAGTGATGCTTGACTTCGGTGATCTGCTGCGAACCGCGTCTTAACGATCAGTCCGCTGCGGGACGCATCTCGTTATATTCACAGATATAATTAGCTGTCAGTCAAAGATGCTAAAAAATGATTCATTATGTAAAAAAAAATTCATTACGATTCCTGAGCATTAACCTAGAACTCTTAAAGCGTCAAGCAATCTGAAAGATATTTTCGTTGTTTCCCTTTACGTGTAACGCAAAATATGATTGTTTCCTTTTAAAAAATTAAAAAAAAACATTCATAAAGGCAACACTGTTAAAATATTTACATAAATTATGAGTTATTTTATCTTTCTTCCCTGTTAAAGCAAAACAAAATGAAGATGATTTGATTGAGGGCAATTCATTAGCAGGGTAGATAGTCTTTTGCGGACGTTAAGAAATGATTTGGCAGATTTCTTCATAATAAATGCTACGAATAAATATTTTGATGAAAAAGATTTTTATCTTTAATTCTCATGGGAAAATTTAACAAATTTACGTGTGCATGACTTGTATTTTTTAAAAAAATGTGTCTAATCTATATTGTTTGAAATATATATGTCGGTAAGGGTTCCTTTATTCAAATCTGTTTTTTTTTCTAGGTATTCCACAATCATTGTTTGCTGGCGAATATTAATTTTTGTACGTGAAGCCATTTGAAAATACTACGTTGTAATTTTACTCTATATTACTCTCTATACTTCAGATAAACACATGCTTGGCATAGAACACACAAAATTGTTGAAAATGTATGAATTTTTAAGCTTTCAGTTCTAAGTTAATGCAATTTCAGCTCGCATAGAAGAAGAGAAAACAAACATATCGTTGCCAGATTAATAAATTAGAAATATAGTAATTTTCTAATGGGTCAAAGTTAGTCCCGCCTATAAACTTCAATTTCACCGGAATCGTGTGGAATGGCGATTTCGATTCCGGATTCCGATATGCTCATGTTGCGGCAAAGTGGATTTTACGAAATTGGCAATCCGATGAAAGCTAGTTTCCGAGCGGAATAAATTTCGATGAGTTGGTAATAGAACCACTGGACAGTCCGACACAATCAAGTATATGTTTCGGTGAGGATGGTTGGATACAGCATATTTTACAAGTCGGGTAAATTTTTGTGCCACTTTCGAATGTTAGACATTTTAGGTGACCAGTTGAGAATCTAGCCAAGGCAGTCTGGGAGCTTCGATTGCTATTGATTCCCAGATGGGTGCCAGGAGATGTTGCGTTATACCATTGGTGCGTAGGTGGAGTTTGCCAGATTGATTTTTGTCTATATTTTTCATTGGAGTAGAGTTTCTGATAAGTAAGTGATAACCCGGTGGGCATATCTTCCTCACTGTCCTCTTCGGCCAATCTATCTGCTATCTCGTTGCCACCAAAATTAACATGTGATAGAATCCACTGGAGATGCACGTGACGGTGCTGAGAAATCTTTTTCATCCTGAGCAGGATAGATATACTAATTTCATCGCTGGCAGAGGACCAACTACTAAGATGTTGCAGGGCACTGCGGCTGTCCGATAAAATCCAGAGTTCTCCATAATTACTGTCGTAGGGAAAGATAGCTTCACGCCCCTCCTTAATCGCTATTAACTCGCTCCTGAAGACAGAGCAAGTGTCTGGATTGCGTTGCTTTATTGATTTTTCTAGATGTTGGATCTTAATATATATACCGCTGCCAGTACCATCTTTTGTACGACTACCATCGGTATAAAACTGCATTGCATCGCTAGGTATGCAACTGATAATTTCCGGAGCCAACTGTCTCAGATGATCTTCCATGTGAGTTTGCTTGTTTGCAGTGGAATTCTGATCGAAATGAAAAAAAAAACTCTTGGCAGTCCCTCTGAGGGATCAATACAAGATCTTAAGGATTGAGGTTCAACCTCACGAGAGACCAGGTTTTGAAATTCCGCCTGGCCAAATTGGTAAAATACATTAACCCTCTTAGCACATTTGCTTGTGTGTGACACAGGCGAAAGTTACCTGCAAATTTGCACATGCCCGTGTCTCACACGGCCAATCTTGAATCTTACGTTAGTTTATTTCTGATGCATGTCTGTGATCTTCTCTTGTAAAAATAGATAGGTTAGATCAAGGATGGGCAAACTCTTTTGGTCGAGGGCCAAAAAAAAAAAAAAAAAAAAAAAAAAAAAAAAAAAATTCGATCATTGATTAAATTTGTTTTGTAATGCACTTTTAAAAAGAGCCATCAATTTTTCAGACGTCGAAGACCCATGTTTATTTTAACATTATGAGAATTACACGTAAAAAAATTTAAGAAAACAAACATAATAAGTTCATTTTCATTTTGTTTATTTTCGTAAACACTAACACAAACTCAGTATGATATCAATATGATATAGTTTTATTCAAACTCATACATGGCAATATAAATAACATAAAAATCGACTGAAATTTCAGACATACAACTTAGTAACTGCGCAAATGCATTTATTGTATGAATTGATTAAAAAATATACTTTTTTTGTGTGTTACAAAACAACAAAACAAATTTTTTAAAAAAACAGTACATGGCACATAAAAATCTTGTATATGGGTCATTCTCACGAAAACTGTCATTTTTCAGTTCATAAAATCCCAAAAAAGTAAAGTGAATAAAAAACTCTGAAACTTTTTATATTAATAGAAATATGTAATGGCATTATAAAGAAAGTATATATCCTATAAATTATACTTAATATTTAAATTAATTAATTTTTTAAATAATTAATTTATAATAATTAATAATTAATTAATTAATTTAATAAATA